CGATCGCTAAAAAAACCCCTATGAGATCCATTGCAATCCACCCATCATTGGAGTCATCGAGAGAAGATAAAAATTTGTGGAGAGAGAAAGAGAGAAATGAGAGTGAGAGAACCCGCTTGGGACTGGATGGGATAAACAAAAAAATAGGCGTGGTTGGCAACAAGGCCTGCTTTTTTTTAATTTTGGGCTCTACTTCTAGCAAAAAATATAAAAAAAAACTCTAAAAATAAAATAGGAGGGGTTACCAACCCCGTCTACTATACAAACTTAGCCAAATTTTTTAACTTGAGGGGTTTTAAAACGAGTCTCTATAAGATTGTCAAGGTTACGAATCTTAGCCATTTTGAACTAAGTTCAAAATAGTTAGGTTGTCAAACTCTACCTACTATTTTAAATATTGTTCAAAGTTTAAAATAGTAGGGGTTGGCAAGCTAGCTATTTTGAACATATGTCAAAGTTCTAATTAGATGGCATTCTCAATCCTGTCAATTTTAACTATCTTCTAATTGAACGTGGTTGCCAATCTTGATTATTTAAAAAAAATGTTTTCTTTAAATCGATCTAGTTTTAGCTAGCAGTGCTGACGTGGTTAAAACTAGGTTGATTTTTAAAAATAAAAATGGATTGTATTAATTTTTAGAATTTAATTATCAAATAGGTCTATTTGAAAATTTTCTCTTTGTCATAATAAGGAGACAAATGTGCAAAAGGGATGTCCGCTTTCTAGTTCATTGTTTGTTATGTAAATTGTATTCGTCTTGAAGATTGTTTTGCTTTGTTTCTTAAAATTATAGTTATATTTTTCGTGGATCATCAAGGTTGAGAAGAGCGGGCTTGGCTTTTTTTAGGTTTATAACATCTTTGATTTTCTGACACAGTTGATTAGGTTAATAGCATACTTTTGATTAAAATGTGAAGCTTCCACTGTTATTTTTCAGTTTTTACAGTTAAATCTCATTTGAAGCATAACCTGAGTAGTATTCAATATCGAATACTCAAACGAACGTTTGAACACTTAAACATGACGAGAACCCACGACATGAGTAGTATTCACATGGGACACTCAAACAAATATTTGAGCATTAAATATTTTAAGACGAAAATGTAAAAGAATTCCAAAATCTGTTGAGTGAAACGAAACTACTCTTGTGTTTATTTTAATGGTCTAGGAGAATTTGTTCATACCCACATTGAGAAAAGTAAGGTGCCAAAAAGTTTATATTGTTCTGATCAAATTTAGATAATTATGAGATGGAAGAAGAAATTTACTTATAATACCCACCGTGCGCTGTCATTAATTTTTGATCGCACGCTTATTTGGAGATGAAAGATACAAATAGGGTTAGTTATGCGACTTCTTGATTTGTTTCAAGAGAAGAAGATACTTCATCAATATCAAATGCGTAACTGTAAATCCCATATATCGCGGAAGGAAACATCGGGCCTGAGCTTCGATATAGACCTTAGTACGCTAGACAAAAATATCACATGGTTTCTTTTTTGACATTGGTTCCTTAAATCTTTCATAACTTTAATAGCCCCTCAAATCGTTGAAATTGTTATATGGTCCCTCAATTTTTATTAGTTATTTCAATTCAGTCCAACAATTAGTTTATTCCTCCAACGTCCTAACTCAAATTGGGATTGTAACTAACCCAACATGCTAAATTACGTCGTACCTTTGTTTAAGATTTAAACGTTCCGGACGTGTTTGCGAAAGGTCATAGGAGATACCCTGACAGGTAGAGTGGATTTGGATTTTAAACCGGTCGGAGTTTGGATTAAATTTATAGAGAATGTTATGACTAGATACCCCTGACAAAGTTAAGTGAAATAGAAATCAATAACAACTGACCGCAATTACTAATCTACAATAACTAATAGAAATTGCAGTCTTGAAAACAACTTGTTATAAAAAATGGAAGGTCTACTTGTATACAGTAGACGCAAAGTGCTATGACCTTCTTGGACCTCGTCCATAGCAAGAGCTTTGTGCATCAAGCTACCCTCAGGCTACTCTAATAGAAATTAGAGAACTAAATAACAATTTCAATGATTAAGGGGCATATTTCAACTTTAGTAAACTTTTAAGTGACCAATGTCAGAAAACTAAAAACAAAACAAATTAAAAATTCCCCCATCAAAATGCTAAGTTTTTAAAGCAAAATTTTAAGTTCACAAGAAGTTAAATACAAAGAGACCATAGCAATCAATGTTGTGAGGATCATTTTAGACGCTTAGTAAATTATGCCTAAAATCAGTAGAATATTGACTCCTTGAGAAAAATCCTGGGCTGAGAATCAAATACGGAAAGTATAAACATGTGAGGGAAAAGGATGCTCCTAAGCAGACGGACTTTTTGGCCATGCGGAAGATGGATAATTAATTTAACAAGAACATAAAAAGCAATGTTACATTAAACGCTAGGCGTTTCTAAGCGTCGGACTTGACGCCCAGCGCTTAGTCGTCTAGGCGGGCGCCTAAGCGGTTTCTGGACGTTTTTTTTCTTTATTCATTTAAGTGGTGATCAATGAGGTTTTGCTGAAGGTCGGAGGAGATAGTGGAGGTGTTCATATTTGGAGGTTAATGAAGTTTGGAGGACGTGTAGGCTACGACATATAAAATCACAATCAAAGCTTACAGAGTGCAATCCACGTAAGCAGACAATGCTCCTCTAAACGCTCGTAAAATCTAGGTGGACAGCCTAAATATCGCCTAGGCGCTAGTTAGGCTAGATGTACGCTAGGCAGAGGTTTTTTAAAACAATGATAAAAAGTCTAATCATATTAGATTTTTAATCAAATTCTTGAAGTTTTCCATGACGAAAGCTTGTTACGTGCATATTTAAGAATCTTCCGCAGAGAAATTAAAGGACTAAGCAGCCGATATTTGTGATTAGACAGCAAAAAGATTGTATACTACAAAAGAAAGCAACCAGCTCCATAGGGACAAAAAGCTTAACCAGACAAAAAATTCAGAGTAAGTTCCCATTACAACAGTTAAACCAAATAAAAGCTTGGCCTTTTGTAGCTCGCTTCAATTTACATTTGTACATCCACTGAATGAAGACCCAAAATAATACTTGCTCAGAGCTAGCTATGCTATCTCATGGATGGATCTACTGAACATTGCAGCTACGCTACTCCAATTTAATTAATAAAGAGAACAGAACAAGTACTATAATTCTTCAACTTGGATAGAGAATCCACAAGGGCACTTTTTCGTTCTGATCCCACTCTCTTCATCAAAGCTCTGGTCTTCTATAAGGAAGACATGTACATGGTCATCCTGCAGAGGCAAAACCACCTTCTTGGCTTCTTGTACGATTCTTCCCGATCTTCCTCTCAACTTTTTCTCATCCTCAAAACTGTTACTTTCAGCAACATCATTGTTATTGCTTTGAGTTTGCAAGGATGAAGAGTTGGCATATGAGTTCTGTAACCGCTGCCTGGTTACAATGGAGGAGAGCAACTGGAACCACCGAGACAGAGCTTGGGCTTCATTCCTCTTCTTCGCCTCGGATTCTCTCCTCTCTTTTTCCTCTTCATATGCCTGCCACACATAAAATTACTCATAAGATAATAGAGCCAATGCTTATAACAGTTGGGATGAGATTTATGTTGATTTTCTCTAATATCATAATGTCAATGGCATCAATTGCCATGGCTTACATGAGCTGATCGCTACCAGATCACAATAACGCATATCTCTATGGCAATGGCATCACTTTCCACATTTTTGTCGAGAAATTTCCATTGTCATCTCTGTGTACTTGTCAGTTTTCTTTTTTTAATTTTATTTTGTGGAAAGATTTTGCCATTCACATCTCAGTGAGAAATTTTGTCATTGACATATGTTCGTGTTGTCTGCGTGTTGTGTCTTCTTTTAAGGAATTTATTAAGTTAACAGTGTGCTTCGTAGGTTAAATTAGTTCAGATCACCTAAGATGGTGAGGGCTTAAGGAAAAAAAAGTAAACTAGTCTGTGCAAGTGCTTCAGATAATTTTTACATATAACTGGAGCAGCTCATATAACACGGTTTTTGACATTGAGGTCTATATCAAATCTGTGAAAAAGCTTCAAGAGAAATTTGTAATGTGGATAATTCCAAAGATAGGAAAAAGTAAATTATAGATTATATTGATGTTAATTATCCATGAAATCTTAATTTAAAAAAGGTTTATTACAAGCTACATGTTCACAGTTGATAATAATTTAGTTAGTTGGGTTCATAATTGCAAGACATTATTACAGACTGATGTTTCACAAAATCATGGAAAGCAAATGAAGATAATGAAGATATACAAAGGAGAACCTGATGTATACGTTGAAGCTCATTCCTACAGAGAAGGTTTACTTATTCAGATTGGCATATCTCATGTAGAAGTTTTGAGGATAGAGCGAAGGGAGCAACAATTTTAAGTGATTGCAGTGTATAAAGATCAATTCTAAGAAAAGCTTGCTTGATACAGCCAAGGTGGACATTGTTATTTTGATGACTTGTGTTCTAAACAAAAGGGTCGTCTATGGTAATTACACATTGCATGAGTAAGGCCCGTGAAAACTTTTTATCTAGCTCGTGAAAGAGGGTTGTATATTAAGGAGTTGATACCTGTCTGCAAAATGCAGAAAATTGGAGAATTCCTCAGGCAGGGAACGGCTTAAATTGAAGATAAAGAAGTTGTAATGCAAAAAAAATCATATTCAAATTTGATCTAGAGGGAAAAGGGGACCACATATATTTTCAAAACAGGGTCATGAATGGTACCTAACATTCCAAGTAATTAGCCAATACTTTGCATGTTGAGACATCTCCAAGAGAATAAATTACATTGTAATCTCTTGAGCAAGTAATAAACTCCTCGTGATCGTAGACAAATTGTAGAACCATGTAGCTCTCTCTGTTTACATGATTTTTTTTCCTTTGTTCATCATCATTGGGTTTGGTTCTTTGGACAACTCCTGCACAAATTCTCCTAGACTGGAAGAAAATAAAAAGAGTACGGATTTGCTTTATGAAATTATGCTCAAATCTGAGACAAATAGAAGAAGAAAAGAAAAAAAATGCTTATAAGGACTGAAAAGAGTCATATGCAAATAAGGTACTATAGAATACCTCTCGTCTTACTTAAATTAACCAAATAGGGATCTACAGGAATGCTGTGTTCATACACGACGAAATTTACTGGATAGGTCACATAATGTTCCTAGATCTTTTCCCTCGGACATCAAATGAATACAAAACTGCGATTTCTTAGGTTGATAAACAACTAGAAGTGCCTTAGATTTAAATTGTAAAGCAAAAAATATTAATAAATTCACAATCACCTACTTTTTCTTTTGCAAAGATACGAAGATAGTTGGTAATTGTGATATCAAGTCATTCAACATTAACATTTGAAATTTTACCTCCATTATAGCACCCTTGAACTCAGTGCAGATTACAATCCCTTCATAGACAGGAAAAGAACGACCATTTCGAAACTCAAATCCAGTCATAGCAGGTGCAAAATCAATACCTAGCCTCTTAGCAACAGAAGCCAGTCCAGGCAATCTCAGGTGTATTGTGCCTGGAGGCAGGCACTTCTCTGACCATGCATCCACTCGACCCCACTCATTCTGTTACAAACCAATAAAACAAAAGTGTTAGTGCTTTGTACCAAAGCCTAGACATCCAATAGTAAAAATTTTAATAATACAAAAATGCTAAGGTACTGAAAGATGTAGAAAATAATTCCTGACTTCTAGACGAATAGGGTACATTGAAGCTCGATAAGATGGAATAAACTAAGAAAACATGTCGGTGGAATGATGGTTGTCATTTCAATCTAATTCCAAACTAGATTTTGGTGTAAGTTCACTAAAAGAAGATATTGTCAAATTCAGGGCTGCAATGGATATAAACATAAACCTTTACTCGAATGATTCACAACAGGCTGTCCTATGATGCCACTCACAAGAGAAAATAAGCCTAAATAAGGAGTATAATGGTTCACGAAGATAGTCTCATCTCTTAACTTTTCAAAACAGCATGTCAAAGAGTTCAAACCCTATGATCACACGCACACAAACAACTGAGGTGGAGAGAGACACCAAGCATTCATGTCACATGCAGTCAAAGGCACAAAGGAGTCATGTAATCCACATTACTTAGTTAAATAAAAAATTAACATTTGAAAATCATGTTTTCCGTATTGCTGTTAATTCATTCAGGATAGGAGGAAAGAGGGCCAAATGTATTCCACAAGGAATGTGAAGATGTCAGCAAGTACAAAATATGTTCGATAAAGGAAAGATGGAAAAGAACAAGAAATAAAGATGGAAAGAACAAAAAGTGATTTGCCTGAGGATAAGTAGAAAATAAGATGATTTCAATAAATCCAAATATATACTACAAGAAAGATGGAGAAGTACAGAATGTAGCTATGAAAAGAAACAGAAATCTTGTTGGCAAAGGGATTTATCCACAAGTTATGACTCAACAAATAGTCATTCCCCATTTTAAATTTACCAACTGCTAAACTGGATACACATTCCAACACATGGAAACATATTAAAGCTATTTAGAGAATAGCTTCTTATTTGAAATGTTATACATGGAAAATATTATTAACTTGTTAATCACATTATTGTAATGAGCTCGAAAGCAAGTGATTTAGGAGTGGTAATCTTTTATAAATAGTGATTGATATCATGCTTTACAAACTTCATGCCTATCCATGTACAAACCTATGCGCTTGGAAGCAAGTGATCTAGGAGTGGTAATCTTTTATAAATAGTGATTGATGTTACGCTTTACAAACTTCATTCCAATCCATGTACTTAGCTATGCAACTACCTTCCGACGCACCTATGTAGCAATGGATGTTCTTATGTTTATACATAATACTCATGTTTCTATCTTACCAACTCATGTTCCTATGTAACTATGAATACACCTCCTTATAGATAAAGATTTAATGGCCAATAAAGCTTTAAACAACTAATACTCTGCAGCTAATATCTTAGAAGAAAAGGCAGTTTCATCACATCCTTAGTATGTAGCTTGACTAGCAAAATTACAGCAAAAAAAGGGTTTGAGTCAATCAAAATATCTTAACTGCTTCTGAAACTTATCATTCAATTGGAACCTCCGAATGGTTCGTTCAACCTCCAAATTTGATTATGCAAAGCTTTATAGATCGAGATTACAGACAAGAATCTGCATGTGAATCTTGAAAGATTTAACACTGAATCAAGGGCTGAAATAGACCTGGACTATCAGAAAAGCCATACTGAATAAGCATTGAATAGAAACTACTGAAAGAGAAACAATGAAAAATGAAGTTACTTCAAACTTCTTTCTTTTTTATCAAAATTACTTGATGCCTTTTGGAATGAAATAGGTATACATATAAATGTCTTTATTCAATTACATCATGAATTTATTCATTCAGAATTACAGGTTTAGCTCAACAGCACAGTCGCAGCATATGAATCAGATTTTTTTTCTACGTTAAGGATAGAGGCCAAAGGGCTGGACAAGGACAGGACAGAGAATTTTTGCTCGAAAAATGATGCTACTAGCACAAGCAAAATCCCTGCCAATCCCCAAGAAAGCTGATTTTTTTATTTTTTTAGTCTGAGTTCAAGTTTATTATCTCATTACTAAATTACTCAGCAACAGTTTGCAAGCATAATATGAAGGCCCAATCTATTTCACTGTTAAATTATTTAACAAGACAATAATATCTGATTTGGCTGAAGAAAGCAACGAAGAAAAAGATGTAGGTGAACCAGGTGCATACGAGCAGCCTAGTTTGGCCTGCCAAAAGCTCATTAAGATTTTGATATTGCCTACGCATTGAGGGGCCAGGCCAAGTTCAATATAGTTCCAGCAAAGAAGCGCTTACGAGCACAATTCTGGTTGAATAAAGATATCACTTATTCCCAACGTAATGAATGATAATGTAGCTGATTCAAAGAAATACAAAGAAACAGAAGGAAGCATAGGATGACTTGATCAAATATATAGCATAGAACATAGAACATAGAACATATAACATAAATTAGGAATTAAGAAAGTTTAGAAATTAGACCCCCATAGTTTTTTTTTATTTTACAGAATTAGGTCGAAAAGGAAAAATGGAGAATTAGTTTAGAATTCCTATGTTTTCCAATCAAACATTCTTCAGTGTCACATCACAAAAGGGTTTCCAACAACAAATTGGAAGTGTAAGATATGAAACACGTATTCTATGTACGGAATCCATCCACCAATTTACATCCCATGGAATCAAGCATCACATAATAGACGATATCAGAGAACATGTTTCCTGTTTAAATGATTGGAGGGAGAAGCATATGATTAAGGAAATACAAACATTAGCATACCTTTGGCACAATTCCATTTACAGCCTGAGGAAGTTGTAATGGTTCCAATTGCCACTTTCCATATAGCTCAATGGTGGTTTCCCCATCTTCTTCTTCAGAAATATTAGGTTCAGATATCTGAACATTTCCATTCTTTTTTGAATGCTTTATTGTCTGGAATTAAATGAAGTCCAACATTAGAGTAACATTCATATTTCATTGATGTGCCTGTATTTCATGATCTCACATAAAGTTTACATGGAAGGAATTTTCCATCAGACCTTAGCTGGAAGCTCATTTACTTTAACTTGTAAACCCATGCGCAACCATTTCTGCTTTGTTTGTAGCGTCTGAACACAGGATCGAGGATAAACGGGATGACCAGAACAATAACCAAGTACAGGACCTTTTGGGTGAAGGATCTGATGCTTGGTAAGCCATTTTTCAATAACATACAGGTTATGACTTTTATAAGCCTAGTAGGAATCAGAAAATTATTAAAATGAGCAAACAAAATGAACATGAAATTCATCACAGAAAAAGAAATTCCTTACTAGCTGGCTAGTAGGAAGAGGCTCAGTTAGTGCCCTTGTTTCCAGTTCCACGTCCTCAAGTGAGATGCCAATAGACAAATCTTTGTTACATGTACAGCCTTGACTAGAAGAAGATTTGATTAAATTGCAACCTGCAGGATGGAGCAATTCTGAACTTTTTGTACCCAAGTTAGAAGAAACATTTTCCTTGAAAGCTTTCAGTCCAGCATATGCACGAGATTCTAACTCCTTCAATGGTGCCAACACTGTATCCCACCAGTCTGAGTTTATTCGTCGAGGGGCAATCTTGTACCACTGCATGCAGTACCTGATATTTGAGAAGAAAGTTCATATATTGCAATAACAGAAACATCCACTAGAAAAAGAAGAAATGTTGAAGAAGAGTTTCCAGGTAAAGAGATGCAGGTAACGTGATAATTTGGACTCAAAAAAATTTTGATTTTTCCAAGTAGCAAGAATATAAATTATTTGGATATGAGTCATATGAAAAAAAGCACATCATGAGATTCTCTATTGCTTTGATTGAATTCACAACTTTCAAAACTTGCATGGTCAAAAAAGTCGATACTTGATAACATCAAAAAAATAACATACAATTTGACATTACCGCTGAAATTCTCTTAGATCCCTGGCCTTTTTTCTGGCATCTAAGCATGAAACCTTATGGACATAACATGTAACTAAAGTTAACTGTTTCATTCTTAAACCTTATATCAAAAGGAAAAAGTTTTAAATTGAAAAAATTACAAAGTGTATGCATTTGCACATGCATGAGCACAATATGCACAAGTGCACATGTGGGACCACAGTCAGAGCACCCACCCTATGATGCACATACGCACTCAGAAACATGTTAGCAAACAGGGGAAAATATTCAAGGTTACAATTTTACATATGAAAAAAGATTTAGACCTAGAAATGGAGTCAAACTACTAAAGTATTCAAGATCAACATGTCTATACCACTTTTAAAAATACTGTTCCTTACCATATTGTCAACAAGATCAACTATTTCGTAAACAGCGCATACATATAAAAAGCAAGTTGAAACAAAAACTTTTGGATTTTCATATTTTCAAAAGCAAATTTGAGTAAATATGGGATCTTAAACAACAATTACAATTTAGAAAAGTGGAAGCCAGAAACATCATGAAGGATGATTCCTGCAAGTGAAACCTGGAATGGACAGTGCTACAAACCTCGAAAGTTCCTTGGACTTATCTGCATAAGTCTTTTTGTTAGATAACTTTATTGATTTTTTTAAAGTTATGATTTTACTTACAAGATTATTGAGATAGCTTTCACATATTTTAGGAGTTATTTTTTGCTTGAGAATTGTGTTATTACATACTGATTGATTACAAATATTATGTGTACAATCAGTATTAGTAAACATGATTAGTAAATAAAAAATATCCATACTACTTGATTTTAATATTCATCTCTAGTTTATTTCATCTGATTTCTATTCACTATGTCTTATAGTAATAACCTGTCTTTTCATCTTTCTCATAGTTTTTACGTGTCAAAACAGATAATATAGAAAGAGACAAGGGTTAGATTCATCCAAAATTTTCGAGCAAACACCAGAATATAAAGTATGAATAAAATTGACTTAACATTTCAACAAAGAAATTAAAGAGGAAACCTAACAAAAAAAGTGATTTTTATGCAGACACTAACCTGGAATGCAAAGGAAACCACATGGATATGGAAACAATTTATTGAAAAAAGAAGCGGACCAAATATATAAAAAGGCATCATTTAACTATTTGAGAGTGTTTAATTAAACTAATGTAAGGCCAAAGATGTTGAAAATATCTAAGATGCATCCAACTTATGTTGCAACTAAGTTGCCTACTTGCCTTGTTGTTAAGTTTCCAGTATGCATCTAGATTCTAGAATAATGTGCTAGCGTTTATCACAATCACAAATCCATATATTCCATTCATAAGCAGTCATCAACCATGAGCCTGTGTCAAGTTAACATTGACAATAACGATAGCACGTAATGTAACGCTTGCCTCCCGATTATGTAAAACACAAAACAACGCAACATACGTTATGTGACTTATTATTTAATTCAATATTTAATAAATAAACATATTCACAATCATTTTAATAAATACAATCATCACAGTTTTCAGATATAACATCACAATTATTAGATATATCATCACTATTTCTCAACAAAAGTATGTTAATAATGCTTAACCAACCCAAAAGTACATGCATTTCAAGTTTAATACAACAAATCAAATAAAACACTCTTTAACTCTTAAGTCTTAAGCAATGTTGAAAAATACAATAATGTACAACTTGCGGCCACTCGATGGCTTCAAACACAATGCATAACATAGCTTGCATAACATAGTTTTAAGAATTAGGGACAGAATAACAAACTATAAAAAACATTTAATAAATGTTCTTTAATTTAATACAAAATATACAATTTACTAACAAGCGTCACAATAAACTATTTCAAATATATAATAACAAACTTACATTTATTTCATAATTTCACATTCATTTTATTAGTCAATATCATAATTTCATAATCACACAATGATGTTACCAAAATAATCCACGAAGGCTCAATAAACAATTCAAAGTAATTAAACAATTACTTCAAGTTTTATGAAACAAAATACTCCCAAGTCTTTATAATAAATTATATTGAAATAACACATTTCCTAAAATAATGTAAGTTATATTGATACAACATATGTCACGTTGTAATAAGGTAGAGTTCCCTTTAAGTTTAGAAATATCAGAAAATCCCCCTTAAGTTTGAGGTGTATCAGAAAACACCTCTTAACTTGAGATTTTTCCAACTAACCCCCTAATAGTGTTACATGAAATAGTAAAAATTTCAAATTACCATTTTTTAATCATTCTAACTATTATAAACTCAATTAACTAATCATAATTACTTAACAAATCCCTAAACCTAAAACCTCATGTAACCCAAACTCTAATTAGAGGAAGTAGCGACCGCCAGCAGGTCGCAGGTGGCGGTGAGGATTAGGATTTAGGAGAGAGAGAGAAAGACGGAGAGAGGAAAAGGTACTGCAAGAGGAAGGGGCAAGAAAAGAGAGAGGGAGAGCGAGGCCATCTGCACCCGCCCCTGCGCACAAGCGCCCAGCGACCACTCTCTCCCCGTCTCCCACATGAGGCCCCTCCCTATCCTCCTCTCTACTCTCTCTCCCTCCTCTTTCCTCTCCCTCCTCTTTCCTCTCCCTCCCTAATTTTCCCTTATACTAACCCAGCCCTAAACCTGCCGCCTGAGATGCCCGTTGCTGGCAACGACAGTCATCGACAACGAGCTTATAATAAGCGCGCAAATGAATGTTTGGGGGGGGGGGGGTTTTTTGCAAAAATTATATAATTTAAAGGGGGTTTTCTGGAATTGCCTTTAAAAAAGGACATGAAGGAAACTTTTTAAACTTCAGGGTTGATGCTAACTTGAGGGAGCTTATGCAATATTTCTAAACTTAAGGGGGTTTTGCTAATAACCGGCCAAACTTAAGGACGGTTTCTGATATTTAGTCTTTGTGTTATTTCAAAAGTTTACTAAACATTTAAGATCTGTTAGCTTACATAACACAAAATAACGAGTTACTAATGGTTTTTCTTTCAGCAATCAAAACCACAAACTTGAAAAGGAAACAGAAAGACAACTGTCAACTGCACCATAATAATTTAATCATAAAAAATATAACAAAAGAACTGACCAAAAACAAAACAAGAAAAGAACGTCAAATTAAAACTGACTCACTGGTCAACTTGTTAAACTCGAAAAACCAGTCTGTTGAATTCTGGATGTATGATGTAACTTCTGAAAGTGACCTCGTCATGAATCTAAGTAGCCTCATCCTAAAAGAAGAAAACCCCTGTAATCACATCCTAGTAACTTCCTACAACTCTCTTGATCTTCTGACGAGCATCAAGCACTAAAGTCATAACTAAAGTGCTATCAAGCATCATCAACGCCAAATGAGAGAGGACAATTGTTCCCCATGTGAGGAGGATCTTGCGGTTTTTATTGATTCTAAATGAGAAAGGACAATTGTGCCCCATGTGAGGAGGATCTCGGGGTTTTTATTGATTCTAAAAGTGGCCCAACTCTTATAAACAAAAACAGAAAAATAAATGTCTAGCAATGCTAACATATGCATATGTACGTGTAGCGTAGCTATGCTATTTTAAAAAAAAATACACGACTAAGCATAACATTTTAGCAGCTGTAAGAGCTTATAGTGGCAAGAGATCCATTTTCGAGAGAGTTACCATTCTACGGGCTAAGAGAGCCAAGACAATGCTTAGGCTTCTGGATTTGCAGTACCTAGTCTAAGATCATCTTCCTCCATCATAAGATCATAATTCATTTTTTTTTAAAATGTTTCCGAGCTGTAAATACTTGATGAGTTCCGTTCATTATGCTACATAGCACATTATTTTAAGATATGTACCTATGCTTTTCCAATTATGTATTGAAGTAATCATGTTAGAGAATCTACTCGTTTTAAGCATGTGCACAACACTTTTAATCATAGTAAAGGTACAGCATGTGATTTTCATTTATTTTACAAGTCATGGTAACTTCTTCCATTAATCTCTAGAAAATAATAAGATCCTTCATCATAAATGCTATTAGTTTGTTAAAAAAAGGTAAAATAAGACTAACTAAATAACTGATTACAAATCATCAGTGAAATGGCGCCCCTGTTAATAAAAGAAAGATGATGCATGGACATTTAATCTCACAGTTTTGGAACAACTAAATTGTTTTTGTTAGGAATTGGTGTTCCTTATCTTCCTTTTCTTTCTTTTCCGCCTCAATAATTTATACGTCTATGAAGTTCTGAAAAGAAAATGAAACAGTTCCTTGCAACAAAGACTGCTATAGCAATCATGCCATAATAAAAAGTAGTTAACTTTATCCACCTACGTTCAGTTCAGATGTATGTGTAGCTAACCATCATGCAGTCTTCAGTGTATTCGCTATGAAATCATCCAATATTTAACTTAGCAGGCAAACCTTCGGGTGACGTCTTTAGCACCATTTCCAGCAAAAGCAACAACATATTTCAAAGGCCTTCTACATGCAGCAGCAGCAGCTTCAACTTTTTCTTCGCCATCTACAACTCCATTAGCAGCATCTACGTGCACCCACCTTCCATTCAATGTCTCCATGCTGCAATAGACTTCTGCCCAACACAAAGTAGGACCATGCTTTCTTGACCAGATAGCACTAGAACCACTGTTTGTCAAAGCCGAAGGGTTAATTTCCTTCAGCTTTTTCAATGGGGAAGCGAGAGAAGATGAACTACTCAATGATTCATGTAATTCAGGTTCCATCATACTGTCATGAGTTCCAGCTGCAGTGGCGAAAAGAGCCATTTCCATCTGCAACTCGAACTCTAAATCTCCTTTCCTTTTTGACACATGAGGAGACTCGGTAGGACAAGAACCCAAATTGTCCTTGCATGATTTTATTTCACTAGAATTACCAGATCCATCGTCTATTTGTTTAGTCATGTTGACACCTTTAAGCAGTTTCTTCTTGCAGGTTGATTTTCTCTCTTTTTTATGCAGATTGCCACTTTGTGATTCATGAGCATTATGATCTTTTTCACTATCGATTGATTCTGCAGGATTGAAAGAACTTGCCACAGCAGTTGTGGAAGAATATAACCTTGTGTCCAGCCGAGGTGCATCATTTATCAATGTTCCAGACGCATCAGTATCTGGCTTCAAAGAAACCACATCTAGAATGGACACATACCTAGAAAAAAAAATCTGAGCTACAAACAGAGTAATATAATAATGATAATAAAAACTTCAAAGTTCAGATCTTAACAATTGAGAATGCATATGAATGAGATATATATCTGCAATCTATAATTTGCAGAAATATTTTAGTGATAGCCCATTGTAAACGTATCAGCATGGAAAACTCAGTTACTTTCACATGATCTAATGAATAATCCTTGCACATGTGGTTTCAAACATGTATCAACAGGATTATAAATGCCACGGTAAAAGAATTCTTTCTTGTAGACATGGATGGATGTTTAAAATAACAGTCAGCTGAGTCACATACTAGCGAACTAAATACTAATCTCGTCACAATCACTTTCCTGTTTGTGATTCTCAATTGTCTGTCACCCGAAAAAGGTTTTTCTTATTTGCAACATTTCAAAACTCAAAATTTTCTTAGAATTGACATTTATCACTCTAACTTGTATATCAAATTTGAATTGGTGTCCAGGATGAGGAATCTTCATCAGAATCAGATGATATGCAGACTCGGTAAACTGGTTGTGGTATGAAAATATACCTGTCTTGTTTGACTTGCATCTTATGTTCAATGTTTCCCGCTATTTGGTTGTGGACGTAATGTCATTCTACAATTTTTCATTCTAGCGACTGTCATATTCGTTTCTCATATGCTCATTTAATCCCAACACATGCCACCACCTTTTTAGTTCATAGGCAGCCATTTTATTACTTAGCCCAATTTGCACAAAAACTAAGATAAATGACCAGAATTATGATAAGATACATTAGTATTTTTTCAGCATAAGCATCATATTTCATTTACATAGTTGTCTAAAGGACAGTCATTGAGACTCTCTGTTACGAGCAAATATCATATCAGTGACCAAAAAAGATGTAAACATCAATATTGTACGATCTTCATGCCAGTATACAAATTAACAAAAGAATCTGACAGAAAAAAGGAAAGAAATTTTAATAAACACATAATTTAATGCTACAAGAAAATAATAATTCAAACAATTTTCAAAGATGGATAATAAACATGCTCACCTAGTTCTTAGATTGAGAGCTCTGAATAGTGCCACTGACAGAGCTGCAACCTGAATATAAGTGTATAGCAATAAATTTAACTGGAATGGCAATATTTAGTCTAGCTTTCATCAATAAGGAGTGAACTGCTCAACAAATATGTCATCATCATCATCTGATAATCTTTCTGCTAAAATGAGGTTGTCACAGAGCGCAAGGAGTAGAAAGTTCTACAAAGAAGTGACTAAGATTTTATAATCATCCTATCAACACTAATCGAGCCTCATGAGCTGCTACCAACTTAGCGGATCTAGCATAAGAAAGAGACAATCATGATTGTTTCATCAAGGCCGCTCACCAGATGGGTTGACTTACCCCTTTTGATTCATGCATTTTCCAAATCACGCATTTTGCTCATTAAGCAAGAACAAAATTCTTATGGATAAAGAGGTAATATGAAGAAAAATAAGCGACAGAGTATCATATTTCTTTTTAAATCATAAACTTAAGAAAAATAAGGCACCGCATCCTTGTCAACTGGCAGTTATCCCCATCGTAATTGGTCATAAGACATTCATAAAAATCAAATGCAGAGATTAGTACTAATAAACATGCTGGCTTTGTGTGCGCTTTCTATGTCATAGTTGCTAAGTTTCTAAAGCTCTTAAATAGGAAAAATTAAAACTTTAGTATCTTTTTCAGCCTTTATTGTAGAACTCCAGAAAGCAGGAGGACATGAGAAAGGATGAAGAAAGCAAACGAGAAGGAAACAGAGAAGAAAGATATGAATTTACTTTTAGGACAAAAGTTTGAACATCAAAAATAAAAATGACCGAAAATGGTCCAAGGAACCTCTAAAAGTGACCTAATAAAACATTGAAAGGTTTTTAAAGCTCATTAAACTATGCTCTACGCTACTATTCTACAGCGCCTATGTCATTTCTTCTACTGTTCCTTACAAACTAACTATATCTCATTTTTTTGGAACCCTAATTTCTATGTCTGGTTGAGCTGTAAGACTTGGTTTGCCATTGACATGCATGGTTGCAGACTCTTTAAGCATTATTCTTATTATCAGATCAATGTGTGATTCCCTAAATAATCCACATTCAAGGGTCAATACATTAATCCTTCTGGTTTTCAGATATATTACCTAAGTTAAATAAGACAGTCTGAAAGCTTTGGCACCCCCTCACGCGGGGGGATATGGATTTTTTTCTAGGGGTAATGAATCAACAGGATTAAGATGATGATGACATAATAATAATGAGTCAACGGGATCTTCTCACGTCGACGACAATGTACGGTTCGTTGTATACTGTAACTGCTAGTCTGGGTTACTCATATATTATTCTCTCTATATGTTTCATGATTTGGGAAAAATTAGTTTTCAAAGGTAACATCAATTGAAAAGCCTTCATTTAATTAGAACAGTTACAACCTCAGTCAACAGACAAGCAAGATATAATAAACCATATTGAGCATGTCTTAATGTTTTGGACAGGAAAATTAAACATATTTTTAATGTTTTCCTCTGCACATGCCATATAATTCTACAACCTATTTCCTGAGTAAGATATTATAACTTGGAAAAATGCCACCTAATTTTTTAACATATTGTGGTGAATATGTCACAACGAAAATATTTGACCAAGTATCATGCCATCGAGCAGCTATACAAGCGTTAAGGCCATCCACATATTAAAATATGTTTAGTGCAACAAACGATGTGATCTATTAAAACAACACTTGCTCTGTTGAATAATACTAGTCTCTATTTGACAAAGAGGATCTTGTCAAATGCCCAGTTGGCAAACTAATCCTACCATCTTTTGCAACTTCTAATCACTATGATTAGACAACGAATAGGGGACAGCATGCATGATTCGAGCTCAAGTAACTGAAAGACACAAAAACTAAAAATTGCAAAAGGTATTTAACAAGTTATCACATACTTGTTCTTTGAAGCATACTTATGCTAAAGAATTCAAACAGACATTACAAAATGACAAAACTAAAAACAGCTGCTTTATTTCAAAAGAAAAAAAACAACCGCTAACAGTCATGATAAGCAGACCAAGAACTGAAGGCATAAAAAAGCTGAAAGTCAGCACAGTCGTTCACTTGAAAGTAAATTTAAAAAGTAAATTTATTTTAACAGAAATTTATGTAAAGCTATGCATTGTATAAAAGCAGTAATCAAGAACCTCTTCAGCAGTTCCTTCACGAGCTTCAAGAGCATATGCCAGATTTGAGTGAAACGATCCCCTATCAATAGTTTGGCTTCGGACACGAAAATTTTCATGGAACTGAAAATAGAAGATATATAACTGTGAATGCGTCAAAATATAGGTAATCTCTCAATTGGTTCATTGTATACCCAGAAATACAAAATATGTCTTTTCAAAAGAGAGAAAGAATATAGTAAGAGTGCATATCATACCCAGCGTACGAGCGATCCCAGCATGTTAGCTTTAAGTCCTGGAGTCTCCATTATCTTCAATAATAATGATGGTAGAAGGGAAAGAATAGAAGCCTGAATAAATATCAATTCTTTTAGCACCTTGAAATCATTTTAAACGAAAGAGATGAGTAAGAGGAGAGACAACAATCCACAACCATGACCAATACTTTACTTGGAAATGCTATCACCTTTCTTCTTGTAAGACTCCTATTACAGAATTCAAGTATAGCTCCTTGGTTGCAAGACACGTATTGATAGGTTAGTTTCCTAGCCGCTGGTCTACTAGATGTTACTGAAAGATAGCTCTTGTCTGCAGTTACTTTTTAAGAATTTGGCATCAATATATGGAGTAAATGTCAGGTAGGTAGACAAGTATTCTTATTATTCAGACAATTTTTTGTGGAACCTTTCATAAATGTCAAACTCTTCTTACAGACATAAGTGACCACTATCAAAAAAACATAATTGTTTTTCTTTCTTGTAGTGTGTGGAACCTTGGCTATGTAAGAAAACACCAGGGCCTGCCCCCCACCGAGGGAGCCCAAGCCCATGTGCATAGCACAAGTGTTGCAATGCCTAATAATTAGAAATCGGGGACAAGCATGCCATAGACACGGATCTTCCCTTGGCCTTTTGAGCCAAGGCCCCAAGCCTCAACCACTAGGCCACTTGCGGAGGGTGGGGGAGATAATTATTTACAAAACAATACTGATAAGAAATAACAGTTTTGTGATGCATTCAAACTTAAATAAGGGGCAGAAAAGGGCACCAACATACATAGATTTATCCAAATAGTGGATGCAAGTTAGACCAATAAGCAATTATCTTAATCATGTAACTTCATGATCACAAAACTGACATTGGGTACAAATATAACATAATAAACAGCTAGTTAGCATAATAATCTATAATAGCAGTATTCATAAAGTGGCTATAGTGCACAACATAATACAAATATACAATCATTCAGAGCGCAAGAGGATCCAGAAAGCAGAAAGGCTTAAAATCAAAATTTATCTCATTAATTTGATTATTAATGTCCCAATCTATCTACTGATTCAATCTTGTACACAGAAAAGAGGAAAAAAGGATACAAGCTAGTCTGTACAAAACCAAATTTGAATTGTTTGCACATCCCTGAAAAGGAATGATGAATTGATTAGTTTGAATGTGTAAAATAATAGTGTCCAAAAATGCAGGTAACCAATTTAAATGCCCAACTATAATCTTAGTGCCTTACCATGGAAATTAAATAAAAACTCCTCATGTAACATATACCTATCACAGGTATGCCTGTAACGGTTAGATTTTCGTAGTGCATAAGATGCTAAGCTCACACAAGCAGCTGCAGTCAAGATGTTAAAAGGCAAAGGAGGTTTACAAGACTAGGGATTTTTATTAAGGGCTTGCAGTAGCTAATCTAGCACAGAAACCTAAAATTCAACCAACCAACTAACCTCAACCTGAATCTGAAATTAAGGTATTAGGACATCCATGGTGTTTTACAATGCTTCAACAAAAACATTCTCAATCACAACCTCAATCTAAATTAATGGATTGTGACTTCCACTAGAAGTTGAGACAACATGAGTAACTTGACTCAGATCAAGAAAAAATATTAAAAGTTTATAAAGCTAGCCTATAGTTTCAAGAGAAGGTTTCCAGTCATTATTTTACATCTAACAGGAATGAAGACCCATCATTAACATGATGGTATTGACCAAAAGTGGAGCAATAACTTCTATACCATCAAAAAATGGAGGCTCATAGTAAGAACAGAGATCATGTTCAGCAAATTGCCTCAAAAAATATTGAAGTGATTGGTCCTTAAGAATGGAGTTTGCAAAATTTTGCAGCTTTAGTTGCATTCATGGAACATAAATCCTTACATAACAGGAAACCAGTGATCTCAAATAATGGTACATCAATCATGCAAGTTGGGCACCTATGCTGCAAAACTGGCCTTGAAGTGGCTTGGGCACCCATGTTACTCATATCAGATACCTGCAATAATCAATTCTATAAACAGGATAAAAAAGGTCCCACAATGAGCAGAGGGCTTGGTGTATGTTTCTAAAATTCTGTGTCTTTGAGCAAGAATGGTTTCCGGAATATTCTCAATAAATTGCAAACCCTTCCCTTGATGAACTCAAGATCAAAGATGAAAGGAATGGATGATAATCTAAAGTCAGATATGTGGAAGTCTTATCTATACTACATATACAAGAGGATTGCCTTGTCAAAACTTTTGATTTCCATTTTTGCCCTTTTAAGTTAATTAATTCTCAAATATGTCATTAATTGTAATAATTAATCATTCACTAATTATATATAACCTCTTATTAATTATACATTTTCTCACTTTTTCAAAACCTTTGGTCGCACTATTATTTTATTATTTAATTACGTTATTTAATAGAAATTTTGAAATCTATCCTTAATTTATCTTCACATAATATTTAAAATTCTATAAAAAGTAAAAATAACAAAAATTCATTAGGCTTATGCCTTACAACTTTGGGTTTCACCACTTATGGAGGACTACCTGTTATCTTACATCTTATTAGCCTTTTAAAATTATAATAATAGAATGGAAAACAATTTTTATTTATTGTAATTGTAATAGTATTAATAGTATAATGATTTTAATAGTATTTTTGAATTAAGAAATTACACTGTAATTTAATAATTATACAATTCAGTAAATTATTTACTTATAGTGTAATAAACTAATAGTGTAATAAACTAATTATTAAATTAAAAATGTAGTTACTAATAGTATTATAATTATGCCAAGTATAATATTATTATATTTAAAAGAGAAAAAACTATTTAATATATTATAATTATTTAATAAATTATGAATAAATTATAATAATTATCCAAACTATAATAATTAATCATACATATATTTATTTATAGTTTTATCATCCAATTTATTCATTTACATAAAATTATAATTGTTCGGAATTTATATTGCTATACAAGTCATTTTATTTTTTTGTAGCCAACAAAAAAAATTGAAAAACATAAAATAAAGCAAGGATGCTCTCGTGCAAAGCACGTGCCCTATACTAGTCTAATTAAAATAACTTTGTATTTATTTTGTTATTGTATATCTGTACCCAAAAAAAAATTTGTTATTGTATATACATTGTAAGTTTTTGGAGGTACTCTTCTATCAATTTGGGGATAGACTTGTAAACTTTTGACATACTCATATTTTTGGAAGCTATAATTGGTATCTAATGTCTGTATGGGGTTCAATAAATTTTTGTATGCTCAAAAGCTAGCTTATGAAAGAAACAATGTTAATCTCATCTTAAGTTATATATTTCAGTTTTATTGCATATCAGTTTGCTTGTATGTGTGTGTGTAAAACATGTATGTTCCTTTATTACATCCTGATGCCATCTTATACCTGTATCCATACTTGTGTTTCTGACACATAGTTGCTCTCTGAACCCTAAGTCCAGATCTGGGAACAAAGGCCCTCATCCACCATATTAGAGAATGGTTGAAACAACTTACATTTCTTCTTATAGTTTGGAAAATGGTTAAAACAACTTACATTTCGTCTAATATAGTTTAGAAAAGAAAAGGCTAATATCAATATACTGAACAGCTAATGCATCTAATGTGTACGGATATAAAAGAAAACCTTAGATACAAGAGTTAACTCAGAGTGAGTTATATAGACGAGAAAAATATGTGGTGAGGAAAGTAATTACCTGGATCAGAGGATCATCGCAAGCATTGTCTACTAACCTACCCCTTGCCAGTAGGCATAGTAAATGGACTTTGTGCACAAGCACTGCTAATTCCTTGAGGAATGAAATGAAAAGTTGGTTTAGATCGTAGCTATATGATAAATTCAAAAATAAACTTATACAAAGTTAACTCTAACAACAAAGTCATCACAATTTACCTTATCTTCAGCAGATGCCTTACGCGATCGCTTCCTCTGAGCAGAGGATGATGAATCTACAAATTCAACAGTAACATTCTCCTCCTTAAATTCTGATATAGAAATCATACCCTCTTCCCAGTCCATTTCATTTGCATCACACTGAATACTTCCATCCATACCTTCCCCCACATTTGATGTGCTTTGTTCTGCATTCTCAGTGATACAACGTTTCAAACCAAAATACTGAATGTGCTCTTTATTACCTTTATTTTCTTCTCTTGGCAATGTCTCTTTCTAATACAAATAGCATCAAAATGCATTAGATGTAAAAATGTAAACGCACAGTTAAACTCATAAAAAATGTTATGCCTGATGCAGTTAGTTAGTCATGACTCATATTATTACGTCAAAAAATTATTGTTACAGACATCTAAACCTTAATTTATATCATTCCTTCCATTTAAACATCAATATTTCTAATGGCAATAAAAATTACAATTCCTTACAAAACAAATTCATTATCGATAAAAAGGAAGATCTATAGGTATTCATTGTCAATTCAACAGATGAAGAAACACAATCGTCAAATGCCAAATTGTGTAAGATGTAGGATGATATTCCCCCGTGACAAAAGTTAATTGTGAATAAAACTGAGGTTTTCACAAAGAATGGCGTATGTAAACTCATTACTCCTAAACTTTGACCTCAGATTATGAAAAGTAGTTGGCAAAATACAATGTGATGTGTAATCCAGAATAACTTAATCTTTATGCTTCTCCTCTCTTCCCGCAAAACCCCACAAATCCTCCAAATATTTCCAGATTCATAAGTCACCATGACGACAAGCAGTGGTTCTCATAACTAGACATAGATTCACATATATTTTGTGTGTGCGCGTGTTGGCTGTGACTTGAGTGATGGAGAAAAAATAGGCACTGTAACTCACAATTAGACGTCAGACTCACATATATTTTGGAGGACTTCACAATTCACATTATTTTGGTTAATTCGTTCAAGTTGGGTCTTTGTGAAAGGTACTAGTCTTCATGCTCTGTTGGCAAATTCATCCACCTATTAATTATGTGGGTGACACCACTCGCCAAAAATGTTGGATCCGCCAATGGAGTACGCTTGTGGTAGAACAAACAATGAAGACACTGGATGACCAATATCTACCGTTACAAATTTCCTACTTCAAATGGTGAAAGCATCTCCTAGGGTGAAAAATTCCCACAAAGGAAAAATCTATTATGCGCCTCTTTTTCCTTCCTTTCTTTTCTCCGTACAATGGTATAGAATAAAGTGTGAGAAAATCCTTTCTTCTGTACTAAAGTGAGAAAATCCTTTCTTCGGTACTAAAAGGTTTGGTCAAATATCAAAATTCAACTTGCACTAAACTGGCAATGTCTCTATTGATTTGATCTCAAAACTAGCAGAACTGTCCTCAAAATTATTCCAAGGCTGTATTACGATGCGGGATGCTGTTCCCCTCCAGAACATGGCAATTAGTACTGTTCACAAAATCGGCACTGGGGGAATATAATTCCCAAGTGCTTAAACGTCATATTTCAGAAAAGATACGCTACACATTTCAGAAACCACCAACAGATGCCATAATCGAATAAAAGGGTATTTTCAAGAACCACTCACTGTATCTTCACTCTTCCGGCATTCTTTCCTTCCCCTCCTAGAATTAGCCCTACTGAGGAGCTTTTCAACTGCCTCCTTAGATATTCTTGCAAGGGAACCTATTGAACAAAATAATTAAGACCGCCTCATTCCCAAGATGCAAAGCAACAATTCCGACCAACTTACCCTCCTCCTCATCATCGCCACCGTGCAGTTTCGGGGTAGAAGTTGAACCGCCTGCGGGTTTTGAACAGGGATTAGAGAGAGAGAGAGAGAGACTAAATCGAAAAGGGTTAGGCTTCAAGAGTTAAAATACCGGTTGGGTCTTCTTCTTTGTTGCGCTTGGATTGGTTTCTGGTCCGCATCTCTACCTCCTCTTCAAAAGGTGTTTGTTTGTGCTTCTCCACAAAAGAGAGGAGAAGAAAGAAATGGGATTCTCACCGGACTCGGAACTGATCCCGATAAAAAATGGTTGTATGTATATCCACGATAATGGGCCGGCCTCATAGCTGGAAAAGGCCTGGGTAAAATATGGCCCCGCCACATGTGGAGGCGGGCCCTTGCTTGAGCCTCATTCATCCTTGCTGCCTATGAGGAAATTTGCTCAAGTTTCGATTGACACGTTTGGTTGTTCTAGATTATAGCCAAACAAAATCCATGGTTGTTCAGGGATGTCAAATGGGTGGTTTTGGTTGGGTCTTGGTTGGGTAGACACATTTATGACCACTTGATCATTTATGACACATTTATCATTTGCTAAATGGGTCACTTCTCAACCACCTATTTACTAAATGGGTGGTTCATGGGTGACCCAATAACCCATTTAGGTGACCCAATAACCCATTTAGTTATGATTATGATGCTTCTATATATATGTAAGTTTCAGGGATCTACTTGCAAACTTTCGGGGGGTTTTGGCATACTTTCAGGGGGGGTTTCTGTAAACTTTTAGGGGGTTTTCTGCAAACTTTCAGGGGGTTTTTTGCAAACTTTCAGGGGCTTTTCTGCAAACTTTCAGGGGATTTCTACAAACTTTCAGGGGGTTTTCTGCAAACTTTTAGGGG